GTTAAGCCCATTATAATTCCATACTTTATGCTGCCTTTGGTTATAATTTGATTTTAAATGACTGTTGAGATACATTTTATGTGAGTAAGTCTTCTTGCAAATGGCAGCACTCCATCTATTGGCAGAGTGATGGAACAGGTTTGAAGAGATTTCCTGTCAGAGGTTTGGGTGTTGTCAACGACAGATGGTTCTCTGTAGGACAGAACAAATTAGCAATTATTTCTACACTTCCTGGGGCTCTATGTGAATTTGCTTCCCTCTGCTCAAGGTCCAAATCCTGCTGACTAGACACAGGAATATAATAGTGAAATGCAGTGTAATCCATCCTTTTCATGTGAGGATAAATGAGCACCATTCATTGACAGAAAATTATGAATCCAAATAAAGAATGATTTAGATGAATGATGAGTTTAGAAAACTGGGTCCAAATGGTTTGTCATTCTCAAGAGATTGATATCTTATGATTATGCTACACTTTTAGTTCAAGGATAACTCAAAGCCATAGTGAAGTTCAGCACCACCAGAACAAGCAAATCAAGTGACTTTTAATCATTTTTGGAATATACTACCTACTCCCTAATTTTTTTTTTAAATCAACCTGTTCAAAGATGTTATTACACACCTCTGGAGTAGGTGGGACTTGAACCCAGTCCTCCTTGCTCAGAGGTAGGGACTCTACCACTGTGCCATAACAGCCTTTACTACCTTCTCCATGTTTAGAACTGAGATAGGTTCCACATGAGATGCATTTGGAACATGATGGACACCAAACAGTAGGGTAAAATGTCCAACACGGATGTGTTTCAAAGTGTCAAAGTGCCCAAAACACTTGTCATCAGAACCCAGCTCATTTGAAGTGAACGTAATATGCATGACTAAGATAAAATCCCCTAAGGCAGCCCTATATTCACAACTTAAATTTAGACACTGTGCATGAGACAGGCAAAGATTAATGTTCAAGGAGACTTTGAAAAATGCATCTTAGAAAATGTGGCATGTCCACCACAGAACAGGACAAAAATGCTAACAAATAAATAATCTGGAAAGCGATTTCAAGTAGCAGTATTCTTTCATTTGAACAGCAAAGAGTGCTGGTAAGGACAAAATGGGATCTAGAAAGACCAAGCAGTTCCAACAAAATCATATAATTCACCCTTGTCTACCCCATGGAAAGCCACTCAGACACTAACCTGCCTTCATACATTTGTACAACAGATGACTTTGTCCATGCAAGTTACAACCGTCTAAGATCACGAAGCATTACTGACAATGGTAAGCATATCACACAGGGCTAGCTGCAGTGTAATACCTATCTATTTGGATTTCAAAATGATGGCAATCTTGTTTTCAAGTAGTTAAATCTTCAGAAGGTAGAAAGAACTGAGCACTCAGAGAAGTTAGCAAAAGTCTTATGAAGGTAATTCCATAATCTCTCATGTTAGGTTTCTGAATCAGGTGGGAGTGTAGCTGCAGGTCCAAAGGTGGAGTGGAATCCCATCTCATTGTTTGATAGAAGCAAATTTTGGGCACCAGAGCAAGCACTAAAGCAGTGCGCTTGCCTTTTCCACAAAGCACTCTTGTTTCACTTCAGTCAATGGATTTCCTGAAGCCCGAGAAGGCCAACTGTCCAGAGTGAAAGGTGATAATATAGATTAAGTCTGGGGCACACAACCACTTTATAATATCTAAATGGACATTCTTCCTCCTGGGAACAGGTTGGTTGCCCCAGAATGCCCCTAATCCTTTTCTATTAAAATCAGATTACAGACAACTTAGGATTCAAAACATTTTTTTTTTATTTTAACTTCCCACTCAGTTCACAGCTGCTGATATTAGAGGAATTAAAATTATTGCCAACTACTCTGATGTTGACTTGACACTCATCAGATCTAAATGGTATAAGGAACATTAAGCAAAGGGAACTGATGAATTGAATTCCTTTCTTTGTGGATCATCCTGATGCTATACCTGGAATACTGTGACGTGGAGGTGCCAGTGTTGGGCTGGGGTGGACAAGGTCAGAAATCACACGACACCAGGTTATAGTCCAATAGGTTTATTTGAAAACAAAAGCTTTCAGAATTTAGGCCCTTCATCAGGTGAAGTGAGAAAGAAGCACACAGAACACAGGAATTGGAAGTAAAAGATCAACAGGTCACACCACTGATCAGGATGTATTAAACAAACCTAAGATGCTGTTAAATCTTTAATCAGTTAGAAGATTTTAATTGATTAATATGTATATGTAAATCCCCGAATTTCTCTCGAGTCACTGTCCTGAGATAACCAAAGGTTTTATCAGTGTAAAGAAGAGATGACATTTTAGGTCAGACAAGGCCTGTTAGGTGTGGGGGCCTTGTTTAGAATCTGTTTGCGTTTTGGTTTGGAGTCAGACTGGTTTTACTTCTTAAGTAGGAATTTATAAAATGCCACATCGACTACTTCTATAAATTGTGTGTTTTTTGAACAAAATAGAATGTATCTGCAAATACAAATTCATCCCATAGAATTGTGTGTGTGTGTGTGTGTGTGTGTGTGTGTGTGAGTTAGAGAGAGAGTGTATAGTGTGGTGGGGTCACCTGTAGTGTGACATGAACCCAAGATCCCGGTTGAGGCCATCCCCATGGGTACTGAACTTGGCTATCAGCCTCTGCTTGGCAACTCTGTGTGTTGTGTATCCCAAAGTCCACCTTGGACGACGTTTACCCAAAGATCCAAAGACGAATGTCCTTGACCTCTGAAGTGTTCCCCCACTAGGAAGTGACATCCCTTTTTGGCGATTGTTGCGCGGTGTCCATTCATTCGTTGATGTAGCGTCTGCATGGTCTTTCCAATATACCATGCCTCGGGACAGCCTTGCCTGCAGCATATGAGATAGACAACATTGGCTGAGTCACATGAGTATCTGCTGTGCACGTGGTGGGTGGTGTTCCCACTTGTGATGGTAATGTCCATGTCGAAGATCTGACATATCTTGCAGAGGCTGCCATGACAGGGTTGTGTAGTGCTGTGGGCGATGTTGTCCTGAAGGCTGGGTAGTTTTCTGCGAACAATGGTGTGTTTGGTGGTTGTTTGGAGGCATAGGGAAGATCTTTGCGAGGTGCACATCGTCATCATCATTGTCATCGTCATCGTCATCGATACTGTGCTAAGAGGCCATCCAGGCCCTTGGGTAAATGCAGATCACTGCGATAAGATAATCTCCAGTCTTGAATGAAATATTTCTAAGGAATCAATTAATAACATAGGTCACCATGACTTTAAAGTCATCTCAAATTGGAGAAAGTTTTAAACTCCTTAACAGGATTGAAAACATGAGGCTAAAATATTTGTTTCAGATCAGACAGACCAGTAAGATAAGAAGACAAATGTTTGATCTTGTAACGGATAAATTTGGAGCTGACGAAAATAAATATTTCTTATATAAAGGAATCAAACCCTGGAATGCATGGCAATTAAGACAAAATATATTGAATGTGGTCAAAGGAACATTGCAGTCATGGTATTCTGGAAGGATGAGAATAATTTTTTTTCTAAAATTTTCTCCTGAGCTAAAATGGGTGTAATGTATAATATATTAGATGTCCAGGAAGGCATTTTCCTTGTTAAGGAACAACTCTGACATTTTTCTTGAGGTTTGACTTTTTGCAAAAAAAAAGTCAATATTACTATAAAGCAAAATATTGTGGATGCTGGAAATCTGAAATAAAAACAGAATGTGCTGGATATGTTCACCAGGTCTGGAAGCAGAGAGACAGGGTAACATTTCGAGTCAAATATGATTCTTTAGAACAGAAGCTCAGGTCTAAAGAAAAGTTGTATTTGACTTGAAATATGAACTTCTCTTTCTCTCTTCATAGATATTGCCAGGCTGAGACATCCCCTATCCAAATGCAGCAAGACCTGGATAATATCAAGGTTTGGATGACAAGTGACAAGTAACATTAGCTTAACACAGTGTCAGGCAATGAGAATCTCCAAAAAGAGAGAATCTAACCTTTGCACCTTGACATTCAATATATTACCACCATGGAATCTCCCACAGTCAACATCCTGGATGTTACCATTGACCAGAAATTGAACTGCACTAACCATATAAAACTGTGCCAACAGGAGCAGGTCAGAAGCTAAGAATCCTACAGTGTGTAACTCATCTCCTGACTCTCCAGGGCATGTCCACAAGACACAAGTTGGGAGTGAGATGGAATACTCCCCACTTTCCAGTTTGAGTGCAGTTCCAACAATACTCAAGAAGCTTGACACCATTCATGATAAAGCATTGGCTTCACTGGCATTACATCTTCAAACATTCTCTGCCTCTACCATCTCCATGCAGAGTAGCAGCAGTGTGTGCCACCTACAAGATGCATTGCAGAAAATCACCAACTGTCCTTTTGACACCTTCCAATCACATGAACACTGCCACAAGAAAGAACATGACCAGCAGACAAATGGGAACACCGCTACCTATTACAAGTCAATCACCATCTTCATTTAGAATTATATCTCTGTTCCTTCAGTGTCACTGGTTTAAATCCTGGAACCCTCCTCCTAACAGCATTTTGGGTCTACCTGTTTGCAACAACTCAAGTAGGCAGCTCACCACTACCTTCTCAAGGGCAACTAGGGATGGGATAGGCAAATACTGCTGACACAGCGAGCGACAAACAAAGCTCATGAATGAATTTTTAACAACGGGCAATATTGATATGAAAACAGAAATTGCTGAAAAAACTCAGCAGATCTGACAGCATCTGTGGAGAGAAAGCAGAGTTAACGTTTTGGGTCCAGTGACCCTTCTTCAGAACACAATATTGGTACCTGTACATAGCAACTATTTCAAGGGCAAAGGAAAGGAGCTGTCCATAATATGACTTGAAACTTATAAAACTATTACATAAGGCAATGAAAAAGCTATAAAAAGTGGTAGTCGATAATTTGCTCATTATCAATATCATTGTAGTTAATTCCCAAATACTTATACTATATGTTCCTTCCAGGTACTCGTGGACAACGTATTTGAAAGCTATTTTCCTTGGAGCACCTCATTATTAGATGTAGCAGAAGTTCTTACACCAACTTCAACATTGATCAATAACAGAGTAAGCAGACATTTAATAGATGACTTTCCCTAATATACAGTGTACCATTGACTACAGGTATGTCGACATTTGAAATCTACTATTGATTCATAAATTGGAATATGTTTTATTCCATATATATAGAATTGTCAAGTTGATCAATAATAAAATACAGCAAGACGCTACTTAGTTCAAATTGGAAGCATATGATTCACAATGTAATTCTGTTATTTCTACTTCATTCATTACAACCCAGAAAACATTTCTGCATGTCAGTATAGAAGATTTCTTGCATCAATATTTACCAATTTTGACTTTTCTCAATGTTCATATATGACCTGTGCTACTACTTTTAGTGCATTACATTTGTAGCATTTTTTTTAAGTGCTAACTTTCTTTCATACCTTTTGTCAGGTCTTCACAGTAGTGGGCAGTCAGTTTCTATATTGACCTAGTTGTTATCTCCACCTGATGCTGGTGACCATTCTCCTGCACTTTGCACAAATATTGTGACACCACAGTTGTATTATTGAAATTTATATAATTTTTAATGTGTTGCAATAACTTTTCTTTCCTCAATGAAGTTATTTTTTAAAAAACATACATTTTAAGCTACTTTAACAGTTTCCCATACAAAGTGAAGAATGAAAAGTGGTGTTTGAACCTCATTTGCCAAAAAATGCAAATACTGCTAATAATTCATGAAACACACCCAAATATGATTAATTCCTTTATTTTCCCTGGTCTTAATGAATGTTTAACTTTAATCATTTTTGTAGGTGTGATTATTGATTCAAGATGTCAAGGAAAAATACAGAAACCAAACAAATGCAACAAAAGAATTAATCACCAGCATCATTCTAGCACATCACGGAGATGAACCTCTGTTGGAGTGAGATTAAGAAGAAATCCCAAAATATTAGGTAAACATATACAATTTATAATATTTACAATAGTTTTAGCCATGGATCACCATTTGCTGTGAAACAGCTTTTCCCTGAGCTCCACTGAAGAATTAAGATTTAGGAAACAAACCAGGACTTCAGCTTTCATTAATTTGTTTGAAGCTTTTAAAAATTATTTTTGGGGAATATGGAGAGCAAGGCCAGCATTAATTGCTTACTGCTGGAGAAGATGGTAGTGGGTCCTTCTTCTGGGGTCATTGTAGTTCTTGCAGTGAAGCTGCTCCCACCACATTGTTCAAATAATCCAAGTCTATCCAATAACCCAAGGCCAGTGATATGTTAAGTCAAGATGGTGTGTGTCTTAGATGGGGATGGGGCTTGGGGACAGTTATGTTTGTATACACTTGCTGCCCTTGCCTGTATAGATCACGGATTTAACGGATTATTGGATGTGCTATTGAAGAAATTGTTTGCAACTTACAGCACTGCACCCTGCCATTAATTCACACTGCGGCCATCATGCATGGAAGTTGATAAGGTGGATGTTTAAACTTAACATCTTAGGACAGTCTTTTCTGAATTGTAGTGTGTGAACAAAGTGCCCCAGATGAGAGCTAAATTAACAATTCCATTTACAGTCCACAATGATCACCACCATAGGAGTAGGACATTTCATACTGAAGGTGGTGCTGTTCTGAGATGTGAAGCATTAGGTTTTGTTTGCTTCTGTCTATGCTGCAACTGACCTGGGATTGCTTGATGTGGATACTGAATGTCAAAGAATAAAAAGGCATTTTCCTTTCCCGTATCCATGTCTTTCACCTTAAGGAGCACAAAATTCACCAAAAAGAGTTAAACCTGCTTATAACTAAGGTGTTCAGTAAGAATAAAATCTTGAAAGGGTTTTTTCAGAAAGACATCCAGGCGGTTGTTTTAGTCTGGAGTAAATTGACTTCCTGACTCAGAAGAACAAAGCTGGGAAGCGCCCACCTCTGCAAACCCAAGTTGGAAGAAACTGCAGGGGATAGGGGGTTGCGGTGGCAGATGTTAACACAAGTTAGGCCCATTGACCCCAGAAAGAGTTCAGAAGAGGCAGCCAGGAAGGCCAATGAGTGGCTCTTTATAGCCCCTTTTCCAAATTCTGTCCCTCCACATGGCTCATTGTAACCTTTGTGCCAAACTATGCCCCACCATCCATTCTTTTGGCTATTTCTAGCCCTACACCAACTTCATTCAATGTCATGCCAAACACTACCTTTTGCCCTGCACTTCATGTCAACCCACACAGTACTAACAATTAATTCATTAATTAAAAAGACACACTTCCATTTATTTAAAAAAAAATTACAGTCAACTTTTTTCAACTACTTAATTTCTTATAAAAACAAACATTTGTGTTTATAGTCCAACTTCAAAGACTTTACTTGGAGTTGTCAATCAAGCGGTGAATAGACACACTCCCCACAACGATTATGATAGAGAGTAAAGTCAGTTACACTATGCAGATCAAGTAAATGTCAATAGACAGGGTAAAATAGCAAGCATTCTTTTTCATTGCAGGCAGTTTTTTTTTCAAAACACTTAAAGGCCATTGATTGTAAATGCCTTTACATCTTGATAGTTCCTTGGACAGCTTGACATTTTCAATGGATTTATTGATATTTTATGTGCTTACTTTTAACAATCCAAAAGGGCACTTGAACTCTCTCAAAGGGCACTTTGCCTCCTCCAAAGGTCTCCCTGGATAGATGTGAACGGGGTATCATATCTCCCCAAAGAACACCAGTATCGTTTTAAAAAGAGACATGAAAAGTGTAATTCCCATAACTCATTGCTTGACTTTCTCATGGGCAACAAGTGTTGCAGTTGCTCTTTAATACATGCAACTGTTTCTGATGTGCTGATAACCTGACTCCATTCTCCACCTGTCAAAAATTGTTGATGTTTGACGGCCGGATTTCTGGGAACTGGGGTCTTTGGTGCTGTTTGGCTAGACCAAAAACTCAATTGTTACAAAATTTGAGACATGAATCTTTGTAAACTTAAATGTAAATCAGCCTTACTGACCAATGACCAGCACTTCGAATCAAAAGCAGGGTTTAAATCTGATTTCCAAAAGTATTTGCTTTAATTAAAGGACTCCAGAAGGGATTAAATCTGAAATGCCTTTCTAAGTGTGTGATATCTTTGAGTATTCAATATTTGAGTCCTGTTTAGCTCTGGAACTTTGGAAACCTTAATGAAGGCAAGCAGATTCTGAAAATGTGCCTGTAGCCTTGAAGCAAAAGGCTACATCGAAAGTGTTGGGAAAAAAATAAACACATTCTCCTCTGTATGAAATCAAGGTTAGTTGCACAATTGTTTGTAGAGTTATTTATTCCCCTTTTATAAGTGTGACACTGAACTAAACAGATGAGTGAAGTCCCGTTTTCAATCTTCTGATGATGTTTTGTGGTGAATTTCTATCAGATAGCATTAGGTGTTACAATTAGTTTATGGACTCTGGTGGAAACAAAGTGTCTTTGATCAAAGTCAGGTCCCTGTGCTGGAAAACATGTCCAATGACCTCAGGTAAGAATAGCAACAAGGTTAGTCATGATGGACCCTGTGATTGAATGGCAGGCCACTGTTCAGCTTCTGCTGTCAGAATTCACAAAAGGCGAATGAAGAGTAGGAGAGAAGTACTGAAAAATGCTGGTGAACTGTCCAGCTGTAAACTAGTATAAATGTAGAAAAAGGAAGAAGGTTTTTTTGGTGGGAATTTGGAGGTAGCACTTATAGTGAATATTTGTCCCATGTATGTGTGAGACTGCCTTTATTATTTTCCAGCTGTCTGGTCTTCCTTGCAGACATTGCAGACGTCTCCCAAAGCAAATAATAGAGGTCAGCAGTAAAAAGAAATGAATAACTCTACGAAGGTGACTTCAGATAAGGTGTTGACCAGGGATCAGACACACAACCACAACAGGCCGATACATATTTCCAGCAAATGTGTTGGTCCTTACTACGCAATCTTCTATCTTGACTTGTTACTCCACATATCTTAGTTGAAGATGTCTTTGTACATGTGAAAATTATTAAACTTCCACATACCCCCCTTTATTCTAAGGGCTCGGCTGGAGGCACTTTCCGATCACAGTGGCAAGCTGCAGCTGTCTTTGCAGGAGATCATTGACTGGCTGACCCTGAAGGACGAGGAACTGTCTGAGCAGCTTCCCTTCACAGGAGATATTGGTGCAGTGCAGCGGTACAATGAGTTTCACTCGGTAAGTTACCCATTCATTTGAAGAACATCGTTAATGACAGGTAGATGTTTTCAGTCTTTCATTTGGTTCAATGAAAATTAGAATTGATCTCTAGCCCTGAGGTTTAAATTAATACTTGAATTGAAGGCTGAAACTACAAACAGAATCCAAACCTCTCTGAAAGGGAAGTGTTTTAATAAGAAAGAAACATTTGCCAAATTCTTTCTTTTTATTTCAGAATAGGGACGTCATGTGTTACATTCACCACAATGCAGTTGCACCAGCACACATTCAGAAGGATGTACATTTCAGTCTCTTGGTAAATTGGGTGATTACTGCACTTCTCAGCATTGGAGTTAGGTTATATAAATATCTGTCACTTGAACTGATCAATTGAGCCCAGACAGGCTCTGATGTCTTCAGAAGAACAGTGGAAAACATGTAGGGCCAAGGAATTGTCTTAGAGTCTTAATTTCCATGAAGAGTATCTTCTCATCTTTAACGCTTTAATCCTCAACAAAAATCAGGCCATTTTGAAAATCAAAAATTAAGTGTCACAATATTGGGAATCAGATGACAGGCAATTAGTAAGAAAGAGTGATTTCTTGTGAAACATGAAACCCTGTTGTCTGCTTTTATACTGAAAGTACCTCAGTTCTAGTCTCTATTTGTCCTCCTCTATTGTTAATATTTTATCTACCTCAGATGTATGAGGCTAGTAAGGTTCAGTTACAATATCACCTACTGCTTCTGATTAGAAATCTGTTTTAAGGGCACCTTATGGTTTTTAGGGTTAAATAGTCCTACAATGCTGTTATTTTAACTGATACCTACATGGAATCATGAAGAAAAATGTAAGCAATCTCAAGACTACTCATAATTTCTATTCATTTTCAAATAAAAGTTTCACATAAATTGACATTAAAACAATTTACTCGTGCGGTAACTGGAAAGTTCAGCTTTTGAGTTCTGTTCCTAGTTTCACTTTCTTACTTCATTTTTTCATTAAAGGCTTTCATGGAAGATGTAAAGACGAAGGGACCCTTCATATTGGCAACTTTGGAGTCAGCTCAAGCATTCCTATCCCAACATCCTCTCGAAGAGGCAGAAGAACCAGCACAAGACAAAGGTTAGCACATCCTTTCTCTTTGTCTTAAAACCTTACCAATGTCAATGTAGCATACAAATGAGGAGAATGCCATGTCCACTCCTCTTGGGCAGCAGCACCAGGAAAAGTTGCCTTAAAGGGGTGACTTTTCTTTTCATTTGATATTTTTTCCAAAAAAATCCTTGGACCTTACTTGCTCTTCTCAGGATTTGTCCTTTTAGAGGCCGTGAAACTGCTGGGTATTGCTATTACAAGAAGAAAGCTGTCCATGAAAAACAAAATTGAGCTTCTTTGTTACTAAACACTAGCCAGTTGAAATGTGTTTAAACACACTGATCACTTCACAAAGCTTCAGCACAATGCAAATAAAAGCCCAAGGCTTCAGTAAACGTTCAGGCTCTCCATTACATTACCTACACCAGACTATGGCTCACTTTAAGGTAATGCGTTAACCTTGACCCTTGTCCTACTGATAATTCAAGGTCAATAATTGCGCTCTTGGAATTAGCCATTTAAAAATTATTAATACGAGTACAGCATCACTGAAAGAATTATTAGATTGTTACTCAGAAAAACTGTTGTAATATTAGTCCCGCAGCTTTAATATACTAGAAGATAGAATGTTGCCCCTTCCTGCTTTCTGTTCTTTCCTATTCCATTTTCTTGCAATTTTATTTCATTTTAATGTGAACTATTTTCCTACAATGTAACTGTAATGCTGTATTCTTTTGACAGATTAATCTCACAAAATTGTCCCCCATGTTTTTCTGCCATTTATGTTTTGTCCATGTTGGAGTTGGAAATTACAGCTGAACTACCTCTGTTTATTCTGCATTGTGTTTTTTTAAACCCAGCTGTGAATTCTGACTCTCCCTTAATTTCAATGTGCACCATTATGTTGTTGTCACCACTGAATTGCCACTGGCCTGTAGTCACTGCATTATCCGGTTACCTTTGTGTCCTCTTCATTAAGTCAGCATATAAGATTCCCCCAGGGACCTACTCCATTTTTGATCCTTGAATGAATCATAATTTCAGATATGTCACCAAAGCAGAAAATCCAGAATGTGAGCCGGTTCATTTGGAAGCAGGCTAATGTATCGAGTGAAATGTGGGAGAAGCTGAGTGCTCGCTGTATTGACCGACACAGGCACATTGAGAGAACGATGGAGAGACTTCTGGAGCTCCGAGGTACTATGGATGAGCTTAATCTGGCCCTAGACCAAGCTGAGGCTGTTCGAGATTCCTGGGAACCTGTGGGAGATCTCTTCATTGATTCACTGCAGGAACATATTGAGACAACTAAGGTATTGTTAATAACTAAAATTTGCAAGACAAAGGTTGATGTGACAAATAGGAGCATTTTCATCTATATTGCATTATTAATTTAAATCTTTCTTGTTGGTAAAACAGGAAATATATGTTATGCTCTATGACACAAAAGTACTCAATGTATTAACTTCAGAAATGGGAAAATGTGAAACATAAATTTGTAAAAGAGCTAGCTGTATGGGTCACCACTACAGTTCCCTTGGCTCAGCATTGGCCCTTTAAAATAAGGACAACAAGGACAGAAGCAATAGAAGAATGAGCTCCGTTGTCCTTGGACCCATCAGGAGGAACTTTCATATTGGGTTTCACTACTCATTGCCAAAGCTTCTGTCATCTTGTAACCTCTAGAGCTTGTATTAAATTTTAGATCATTCTCTTTTTAATGATTAATGATTAATAATAAAAACTAAAATAAGACTGGAAATTATTAAAATTGCACAGCAGGTTAGCTGGCATCTGTATTAAGAAGAAACAAATTCTGATGTTGGCATCGTCAGAACTGAAACCCAAAATAAAACAGATATATTAATTTATTTGGGAAAGGCAATATAAAGAAAGAATCACCGTTTATATAAAAGCTTGCATTAAGTCCCAAAGCACTTTATGGCCAATTAAGTACATTTGAAGTGTGGTTACTTCTGTAATGTAATATATATGTGTGCTTTTATAGTGAAACTGAACATAACTTTCCCCGATAGGACCATGTAGCAGAAAGCTGCATGGAATTTGCACAAATAATGATATCAAAAACAACAATGTGAAAATGGCCATATAATTTTTTTGATGATGAAAAAATATAGGCCAGCAAACAGGAGAACACCTGTATTCTTCTTCAAATAATAGCATGCCATCTTTTACATCTACCTGAAAGAACAGACATAGCATAATAGGATTGCCTTATCTGAAAGATTCAATACTCCCCAACAATGCAGGACTCTCTCAGAAATACACTACATTGTCAGTTTAGGTAATGTACAAAGCCCTAGAGTGGCACAAGGGCACATCACCTCCTGATTCAGGAACGAGATAAGTCCCAATAAGTCAAGGCACTTTGGAAATTGGAATCTGTCATCTCACCAATGATCTTTAATATTACCTATTGGACTATTGGATAAGTTACAGGTCAACCTGGACACTTGATCTCCCTGACTGGCCTATCTGTTTATTCTCTCTTTTCCCAGTGCTCCATTTTCCTTTCTTAAGCATGTGCTTTTTTTTTTGCTGAATAATACCTTGAAGTTCCTAGGCAGTAATAATGGCTTTGCTCAAACCTACTGCAACTGATAAAAGAATTCTCCAAAAATGAACATAAATGAGAGATCCTGGTAAGTGACTCCCTCATGGAAGATTAAGTACTCTCCGTCTTTGCGGTGTCAAGAATAATGGTGAGATTGATGACTTAACTGGGAGACAGCCAAAAATCAGATTCTGTCTGGTTGTGTTAAGAACTATTATAAATCCTCCCTTGTTAGATGGCAAGTAATACAATTTCCAATCTGAGTGAGTGTGCAGCAATGCTCCTTTGCTTCATTTCTGCTAGAACCACTAGAACTGTACAATGCACCTCTACGTTGACTAAAACACACTTGTCCCTGGACAATTGTGTCTTCAAACTCAGCAATTGAATGTCAGCTTCTTGGATAGCTCTTTGCTGCTGCCTGAAGCCTGTGCAGTATCAATTCTCAGGGGGCACTTTAGCTGGACACGGCCAGACTGCAACTTTTCTCTCTCAAGTGGCACTTCCATTCCCTTTTTTATTTCACTTTTTCGGTTTTACTCTAAGCAAATAGCCAGACGGAATGATCTGAGATGTAATACAAGCTCTGGAGGTTACGAGATAAAAGAAGCGTGGGTAGTGAAACCAAATATAACTTGCCCCGAGAGGGCCAAGGACACAGGAGCTCATTTTCCTTTGGCGCTTGCGCTGACTATTGTTATTTTTAAAAGCCAATGAAAAGCTGAGGAAACTGTAGAGGTGCCTCAGACTGCCAGCTTTCTCCCAAAGGATATTTCCCTCACATTTCTGGAGTTAGCCCAATTAATAGCACAGGCAGCTTAAAGCTGCAAGGGAAACTTCTGTGCAGAAAGAAAGGCAGGAGTATGTGGGTGAAAAAATGTGAAGCGTCAAAAGGAAAGGTGGAGGGCACGTGTCAGTGAACTGCTGATGCCATGTCAATGCAGAGGTGGCGTGCATGTCAGAAACTTACCTGGCAAACACTGTGCACATGCTTGAACAGGATGGCCTCTCTTTTTCATTCACTCACAAGATGAGGATATTGCTGGCTAGGCAGCATTTACTGCCCATCCCTAATTGCCCTGAGGGCAGTTCAGAGTCGACCACATTGCTGTGGGTCTGAAGTCACTTGTAGGCCAGACCAGGTAAGGATGGCAGTTTCCTTCCCTAAAGGGCATTAGTGAACCAGATGGGTTTTTCCAACAATCGACAATGGGTTTGTGGTCATCATTAGACTCTTGATTCCAGGACTTTAATTGAATTCAAATTCCACCATCTGCCCTGGTAGAATTCGAACCCGGGTCCCAAGAACATTACCTGGGTCTCTGGATTAACAGTCCAGCAATAATACCACTAGGCCATCACCTCCCGATATCTGCACCTATGAGATATCCCGCACATTACTCAGTGAATCACATGCTGAGTGAGCTGAATGTTCTCATCACTGGCGATATATTCTGGGTCAAAGATCCTAGTACTATATTGAAAGGTTAGCTGGACACCAGTTCAGATGCTGCGAGCCTGGAATTTTCTCCTCAGTCTGTCTGTGGAATTCCAGAGATGCTCTGTAAGAAGTCAAAGCGGACTCTCAAGTTCATCAGTACTGTCCCCTAGATGCTGCTGGGCAGAGTTACTGGCAGAAGGGACACACATTTCCTGGGTGACTGCATTAGGAGGCCATCTCATTAGACCTATCCAGCCTGGGCCATTGCAGAGTGGGTCAGTGCCACTAGCCACCCCAAAAGGACTTGAAGGGTAAGTGGCACCATCTTCTCTCTGCTATCTTCACCTGCAAAGGCATCACTTGATTTAATTCTGCCATGGTACAACCACATCTCACAAAGTCTCACAGCCTGCATACCTCAGCTTCATATGCATTTTTAATTTTAATTTTTATTTTAGTGGGAAGTGGCTTTGCTGGCTGGGCCGGTTCACATTAGCTATCACTAGTTGCCCTTGAGAAGGTGGTGGTGAGCTGCCTTCTTGAACTGCTGCAGTCCATTTGGTGTATGTTCACCCTCATTACTGTTATGGGTGAAATTCCAGGAATTTGACAGTGAAGGAACACATCGTTTTGGTTGAGTCCCTTCTCTTGGCCATTGCTGTCCACATGTTACCTCCACATGTTGACTCTTAACTGCCCTCTGGGCAATTAGGGATGGGTAATAAATGCTGTCTAGCAGCAACGCCCTCATCCCGTGAATGAATAAAGAAAAAAAAAATTGGAGAAGCTCATCTTTGTGTAAGAGAGCTCACCGCAGGCTTGGACAGATATAACAACATCCAACACACTCCAATTTCAAAATATGCGGGCTGGCTGCAGCTTTCCACTGACATTCTGGTGCCCTGTATTGTACTCTGAAAGTACCATGCACTATGAGCCAGCTGCATCCAAGACTATAAGGCTGACTGGTGCAGTGACTGGTCTCTGGTATTACTTGAGCAATACTTTTAAAGAATCCCTAAACAATCCCCTTAAGGAGCTATATATTGACCACCTATAGAGTCATAGAGATGTACAGCAAGGAAACAGACCCTTCGGTCCAACTCGTCCATGCTGACCAGATATCCTAAATTGATTCAATCCCATTTGCCAGCATTTGGCCCATATCCCTCTAAACCCTTCCTATTCATATACCCATCCAGATGCCTTTAAAATGATGTAGTTGTACCAGCCTCCACCACTTCCTCTGGCAGTTCATTCCATATACACATCACCCTCTTTGGGAAAACATTGCCTCTTAGATTCCTTTTAAATCTTTCCCCTCTCACCTTAAACTTATGCCCTTTAGGTTTGGACTCCACTATCCTGGGGAAAAGACCTCGACTATTCACCCCATCCATGCCCCTCATGATTTAATAAACTTCCACAAGGTCACCCCTCAGCCTCTGACGCTCCAGGGAAAATAGCCCCAGCCTATTCAGTCTCTCCCTATGGTTCAAACCCTCCAACCCTGGCAACATCCTTGTGAATCATTTCTGAACCCTTTCAAGTTTAGCAACATTTTTCAAGAGCAGGGAGACCAGAATTAAATGCCGTATTCCAAAAGTGGCCTGCCCAATGTCTTGTACAGTCACAACATAACCTCACAACTCCTGTACTCATTGTACGGACCAATAAAGGCAGGCATACCAAATGCCTTCCTCACTGCCCTGTCTACCTGCAACACCACTTACCAGGGGAATTAGTTCACCCCACCTCCAATAATAATAACTTCTTTACTTCCTCCACCATTTGGTACTATGCTACGTTATGCTGTATAATCAGAAGTATATTCTGACAAGAAAGTACAAACCGACTATGTAAAGTTTATTGAATAATTCGAGTAGTAAATATGCCAGAGTTCTGTTCTTTTGGCTGAGGTGGCTGCACCTTCAGCTCAGACACAATGGTTTGGATTTTCAAAAGTGTATTTTGATCAAATGTGGGATCAAAAATCACAATCTCAGATTATGTCACTGGTTTCTGACACCATCGAGTGTAATGCAATGTTGTGAAAATCACCTGAAAGTACAGCAGTGCAGGAAGTAGGTTAATGACCTTCTGTGTTCCACAATGATAAGTGCCACCATTGTCTCTCTGCCTCACACTTACAGTGCAATCACTCACTCTAACTCTGCCATTGTACACTCCATTCACTGAGATTCACGTGCTATAACTCTCAGTATTGCGGACATCATTTCCATCATTACCTCTCACCCACCTCATCCTCTCAAACCATTACTCCCTACTCTCTGCACCTTCTACTTTTTTCAAAATAGCCAGCGATATCTGGGAATAAGAATCTCTCTAGCCTGGTTTCCATGGCAATGAAACCTTTAAGCAATTTCCTGTAAAGATGAAATTAAAATGAACTTAAAACACAAACCCAGTCCCTTTAGCCATTTCAAACTAATTCTATATTCAAATTCTATCCTTAATTTCTAACTGTTTCTAATTTCTAACCCACACACAATTCATAAGGATACCAGAGAGATGGAAGGTTGCGTAATGGTTTTTCATAAAGATACAAATTACCATTTAATTATACAACCATTTTTAATTTTTCTTTTTGAAGAGGTAGATAATAATTCATATGGCTGTGATTCTGAATAGCAGTTGATATATTATGGGGAAAATTTAATGTTGCTACCTTCTTATTTGCTGCAATGTTGTTAATTTCGCCACAGATTCAAAACAAAGCAATAACCTGTAGAATCAGAATAAATTAATTCTCCTAGAAACTCCTAGTGATGACAGTTTCCAGGCTAATGTTTCTCTTCTTTGCACCCTTTACTCATAAGGTATTTAAAGAGGAACTCGGAGCTGTAAAAGATGGCATGAAAATTGCCAATGACTTGGCTCACCAACTTGCAATCTCAGATGTACATCTTTCCACAGAAAATGCACAGCGACTAGAGGAACTGACATCAAGGTGGCAGGCTTTACAGGTGGGTGTTACCAAGAGTCAGCAAGAGTAGGAGGTCTTTGCTAAGTTATCCAGTATGGGGAAGCATTAGCAAGTGAACTCTGTAAAGTAGTGTTGTAGGAAATTGAAAAATAGAAAAATGACTTAACAAATACATTGTGAACTCCATTGCCTATTGTCTCTGAAGACAACTTATCTGAGATTTGGACACGGTAAGGACTGCAGGTCGCTGGAAGCTGGAGAACTAATGAAGGGTTTTGGCCCAAAATGTTGACTTTCCTGCTCCTCGGATGCTGTCTGACCTGCTGTGCTTTTCCAGCTCCACATTAGCTGAGATTTTTTTTTGGCATTTTCATCCTTCTAAGACAGTGCTTCCCAAACCTTTTCAGCCTTTTTGTGACTCTATTTGAGGCTTGAAAATTTGTCACAACTTGTGGTTGGAGAAGTAGGGAGAGACCTGTGAGGTTGGGGCATTCCTGCCTACATTAAAGCAGGAATGCAGCTGGTCATATTCAGATCTCTACAGCATCAGTTTCTGCCTTGGAGCTTGTAACTTCAAACTTTCAGCTCACAACTCCACGTGGAATCGCAACCCCACTTTGTGCTGCCCTGCCTTTGGGTGACTAAAATCAAAATCAGCGCTGGAACATAAAAAATCTATTGATAGCTGTTGGTCAGTATCGAATAGTAGTTATGAGTCTAGGGTTTAGTAGACTGGAGTGTTGCTTCACTAGTCGTGAGAAATCAGGGAATATTTACATAAACATTTCTGACAAGAGATTAAATATATTGCGTTGAGTCCACAGTTGGGTATATTGTAAACAATCATAAACAGTGGCCTCCCCGAACTAGACAACTTTTATCTCATTCCAGGTTCACTCTTCCTCAAATAGAAGAAGAGATAAAGCACTTTTAGCCAATTAAACCTATGTACAATTTTCCTTGGCGTCAACTACACAGAACTCATTTAAATGTCTTGATGAAGACCGTCAATTACTCTCAGAAGATCTGTGAAATGTTTTCTTGACTACCAGACATAGTCAAATTAACTTCCAGGATACTAATCCAACCATGCAACTCACACTTACAATTCTGACCAGTTAGATCACTTTGACTAATTCATTCAGAGTGCTTAACACCCCTTTCTCTTACAGTGCTTGAACATCCGTATATCTCCCTATTCCTACAACCCTCACTTGTGATGCCCCCTGTACCTTCATGGAAATCCTATATTTTAGGTTGAGATGATGTTTTAAGAATTAGATTTCCCTAGGAGATAAGCTTTGGTAAAGCAAACTGCTTTCTGTAACTGACATGTGAGCATGGGAGATACACAATGAAAAAAGGTTAACAAGAAATTAATCATAGGGGTGGAATAGTTTGATGTATGGTTCTGGTCTCAAATGGGGTCTTAGGTTTTTAAGTCTAGTACAATCCTATTGTAGAAAACAGCTCTTTCATGCACAGTTGTGTTGAAATTCTGTGCTGGCCAGAGAGTAGAAATATTGACAACTGAATGATTCCACTAACTGAGTTGAATTTCTGGGACGTCCAAGCTGAGAAGAGAGAGAGTTCTAGATGCAACCCTCTAGCATTAAGGACATTAATACAAAGTGAGGAAGGGCGTGCATTAAAGATGTTAATGATGTTACTGTTGAATTGGGAGTTTACAATTTTGGTGACTGAAGGAAATTTGAGAGGACAGCCTTGGAGTGGAAGGCCCAAAAGACTCAAAACTTCTTTGAATCTTTGAAATCGTACACAGACCAATTGGCTAATCTTCCAATTTCTGATAAGTATCTGACTTGCGAGATTGGGGATGGCAATTAAATAGATGTAGAAGGAAAGTTAAATTAAGAAGTTTGATTTAGAGTACAGGTAATTGTGCTCATTGTGCTTTTAACATCTTTAATCTAATTGACTAACTTAAAGCAGAGTGCAGTTAATCATATTCATGATCTTTAATTTTTGTGTAGTGTTTTTTGTTTTTAAAATGTGAACTACTTTTAATAAGAAGAAGGGTCCCGACCTGAAACGTCAACTTTCCTGCTCCTCTGATGCTGCCTGACCTGCTGTGTTCCTCCAGCTCCACACTGTATTGCTCTGACTCCAGCACCTGCAGTTCTTGCTATCTCTAATAATATAGCATATATAATTGTTTTTTTGCCGGAAGCCTTTCTAAACACTCAGTTGGTTAAGTCATTGTACAACTGAAATAGACAAAACCCAAAGTTAATATCCATTTAGCACCAACTGAAGTGCTACACTTCTCATACCAACAGAGAAAATCGACCAGGATTTCTGTAACAGCAGAAAATTCTGTAAATATTCAGTGGGCCAGATAGCATTGGTGAAAATAGTGTTGACATTTCAGGTTAATAATCTTGTATCAAAACTGAGGAAAAAATGAAATATATTAGATGTTCAACAAGCGAAAGAGGAAGAACACTTGGGAAGGTCTGTGGAAGAACTCCTGTATCTTGTCAATACAGTTTTGTGGACACGTGTGTTTGTGTGTGTGTGAGAACATTAGGTGAAGACAAGCTTCTGCTTTTGTACAATGCATTTGATGCTTAAGGGGCTGTCAATGCTTAATGTCAATTTTAAGGTTACTATGAAGCACTATCAATGGGAGGAATAGTTAGCAGGGTGGAATTAAGTGTCCAATTTGAATGAGAGATAACAAGGTGTAGAGCTGGATGAACACAGCAGGCGAAGCAGCACCAGAGGAGCAGGAAAGCTGACGTTTCGGGTCTGGACCCTTCTTCAGAGAATCGTGAGTTGAGGTTGTGGATCCTGCAAAGAATGAAAAACAGG